CTGGCTGGGGAATTCTGGGAGTTGAAAGTCCACACATAATGTTGCCAAGGTTGAGAAACACTGCTCTAGCCTGTATCTTCCTTTTTTCTCTTAGCGCTTTTATTTCCTGTCAAACTGTTGATATTCAGATTGCAATCCCTCTGGGGCAGAGACCTCTTTCTCTTACTTCATAAAGCATTTTATATACTGATGCATAACAGTAATTAATAATAAATTATGTAACTATCACCTATAATAGGGTAATAGAAGCTGCAGTTTGCATAAGGACAATAATTCTGAAAATTGAAATGGGGTTTAACTTGACATTAACTTTGTAAGAACTTAAGTCTTGAGGAAATTGTCTAATATTTTCAGAATGTTTAACCTATCCTTCATTTTTAAAACAATCTTCTTTGGTAAACATCAGATAGATAAATATGCTTTCATAAGAGGATTTTGCTGCACAGAGAGGTATGAATTAAACAGCTGTAAAGCTGTGGTTCTTTAAAAAAGTAGCAAGGTAAAGGGTCCACCCAACACTTCTGCTACAGAGAGCTGCATGGAGACATCTAACCTCCTCCTGCTCTCAATATTCATGGCATCTCAAGGAACTCATCAGTAAAAGACTATACATTTGGTTAGTTACAAATGTCAGATGCGTTTATATAGGTTAGAATTGGCTTACCCATAGTAGATGAGACATGATGCAAATATTCCATTTTTTTTCAAATAGAGACTTGTGTAAAGTGACTCTAGATTTTCCTGTTTTCCGCTGGTTGTGAATTGAGTGAAAATTGGGACTTTCTTTTTTATGTTTGTCAATATCCAAATAAAAGCTGTACTCAAGTTTTTCCTGGGGTGAGATTATTCTTCAGAATGTTAACCCTTACACTGCTGAAGTCTTGTTTCCATTCCATTAACACTAGTAGGGGGTCAGCCTACTCTTCCCCACAGGATTAAAATGAGGAGCCAGCAAATTACCTTGGGTTTCTTGGGAAAAAGGCAAAAATTAATAAATTAATGAATCAAATCAATGCACATGGAGGAAACAACTTCTCTGTCCCCTGAATTACTGGGCTAACAGTTTCTGAATGTTATGTTAACTACTGTTCTGCATCTGCACCTCCCTCTAATGCTGTCAACCACACCAAACCAGCATAGCAGAAAGATGACTTGTGGGTTCATTTGTGGTGGAACTGAACAAGTCTCTGTCTGAGGTTGCAATTTTCAGGTCTTAACCCTATTTGAATGTCTTAAATAACAATTAACAGATTAGCATAACTTAA